AGTAGCTGGGACCACAGGCGCCCGCCACAACGCCTGGCTATTTTTTTGGTTGTAGCTGTCACTGTTGTTTGGTGGGCCCAGGCTGGATTTGAACCCACCACTTTGGGTGTATGTGGCTGGCGCCTTAGCCACTTGAGCCCAGGAGTTGGCTCAAGAGCCCAGGCACCGAGCCATGCTATTGCTATTCTATCCTTTAAATTTAAACTAAGGGTCAGTTTGTTTTGGAATGGGAGTAGTGTTACTGCTCAATGTTCAAACAAAAGCCTTATTGCAAAGGCTCTCAGCGTCCTTAGTATCTCAGTAATTTTCCACCACATCCATAAGCCAAACCCCAAACCAACCTAACCATTCTGCTAATTAAGTAGTCAGGTCCCATACAACTTGATAGTAGTTTGCAAAATGCCCAATAGATGTCACTGTTTCCTTGAACATTTAAAATATCCACAATGCCCCAGTGAGTCAGCTAGGGGCAGTTTGGGAACCACAAAAGTAATTTAACTTGATTCTCATTGGTCTCTGACCTTCCATTCTTTTGCTTTCGCTCTCTTTTTTTTTTTTTTAAATGCAGTTTTTGGCCAGGCTGGTTTGAACCCACCACCTCCAGTATATGGGGCTAGCGCCCTACTCCTAGAGCCAAAAATGCCACCCTCCTTTTTCTTTTTCTTGAGATGGACACTCACTGTGTTGCCCAGGCTAGAATGCTGTGGCATCAGCCTATCTCAGAGCAACCTCAAACTCCTGGGCTCAAGCAATCCTTCTGCCTCAGCCTCCTGAGTAGTTGGGATTACAAGCACCACCACAACACCCAGCTAGTTTTTCTAGTTTTGGTGGAGACAGGGTCTTGCTCTTGCTCATGATGGTCTCCAACTCCTGAGCTCTGTGAGCCACCCACATTATTTCTGTCTTTCTAAACCCAAACCACAAAGGGGGTGAGAGAAGAAAAAGATCTAAGGGATCAACTTAAAGTTTTTTTGAGACAGTCTCAAGCTGTCACCCTGAGTAGAGTGCTATAGCACCATAGCTCACAACAACCTCTAACTCTTGGGTTCAAGCAATCCTCTTGCCTCAGTTTTTCTATTTTTAGTAGAGACAGGGTCTTCCTTTTTGCTCAGGCTGGTCTCAGACTCATGAGCTCAGGCAATCCATCCAACTCGGCCTCCCAGAGTGCTAGGATTACAGGCATGAGCCACCATGCCCAGTCAAAGTTCTTAATTTCATGTTAATTTATAAGACAAAGCTAGCCAGAAATTGGACTAAAATGAACCCAAATCCATATTGAAAGCATTCTTTGAGCCAAAGACCACAAAACACCCCTACCCCTGGTCTAGTTCCACTAAAAAATGACATTCTAAATGTTTTTTCCCCCACCTAATTTTACTCTACTGTTTCTTGCTTTGTAACTTTCTTAGCACTCAGAATCAACAGATAACTAGTGCATAAGTATCAAACACTCAGAATGATGAATATAAACTGTGGATAACCTCTGCAGATGTTTTCAAGGACCTTCCTCTAGTCTTGACCAGTTACAAACAAACTCTCCACACATATGTAGAGAACTTTCCTTGGGAATTAGTAGAGCTATCTGAATGCAAACTGTGGTGCTCCATGCCATGCCAGTAGTTATTTTAATACCATATTCAAAAGGCTGACCTTTTATCTCAGGAACTTACAACATCCAAAGAGACTGAGTTGTTTTATTTTTGAAGAAATTAATTTTAATAAGAATACTGAAAATTTCTTCCATCTGACCATGAAAGTCAAATTATGTTATTCCTCCCGTAAAGAAAAGGTACTTCAAGAAACTGAAATAACTCAACAGGGTAGGTATGAAAAGTTGGCAAAGAAAGATGCTTTGTCAATCAAATGAGACAAATAACTCTTTTCCTCAGGTACAAGTATTGCCAAGACATCCAACCAAATAGCCAACGTTAATTAAAAGATTTAAAAAATGAAAAAAAAAATCCAGCTCATCAGGAAATATTTTTCATTTGTTTAATTTTGCAATGCAGAAAATGGAATTAACCAATAAGGCTTTTCAACTCAGAAAATAAATTTGACTGCTTACTGAGCATATTTCATAGACTTACACTCAAAATATTTCTCAAAGTTTTTCTTTCTTTTTCTTTTTTTTTAATTTGAGCCAGAGTCTCACTTTGTCACCCTTGGCAGAGTGCTGTGGCTTTGTGTCATAGCTGACAGCAACCTCAAACTCTTGGGTTCAAGAGATCTTCTTGCATTAGGCTCCCAAGGAGCTGGGACTACAGATGCCCATCATAACACCTGGCTTTTTTTTTTTTGGAGAAGGGGTCTTGCTCTTCTTGCTTGGGCTGGTATCGAACACTTGAGCTCAGAATAACCACCCACCTCAGCCTCCCAAAGAGCTAGGATTACAGGAGTGAGCCACCAAGCCTGGCCCTCAAACCAAGTGTTTCAAACACTGAGTCCTTGATTCTGACCCAGAATCTGTTTGTCAACTCAGTATGACCAATTCCTTTCACTTTCTTGGAATCTATAGCTCAAAGGTCAAAAACACAGGCTATGCCACAACAGAGAAGTCAATCTAAATTAAATGCTTGGAAACCCTGAGAAACAAAAAATGCAAATTTAACATCCTTCTAATAGTTTTCCAGTTATCAAAAAGATATCTTCACTAAAAT